CCCTGGAGACCGAGTAGAGCCCTGAGGACCGGAGCGCCCACACGCTTGTAAGCAGCGTGTGCGTGCTCCCCAAACCCGATATGGTCCTCTGCTCCCGCCGTATCTGCCCCTCCCACTGACCGTACTAATCGTCCCACCCTCTCTTGACCCCCTAACCACCTCCCCCTCCACTCCCACGCCGCGTCCCTCAGACAGGCTGGATCTGCCTCTGAAACCATTCAGAAACTGGAATTGATGCAGAAAGTGGCAACCAGCTTGTTAGCATTGTTAGCATTGCTGTCAGCTTATTACACCAATATTGTAGACCCCGCATTGACTTCCAATGAATTTCACAGCATAATCTGAATCCATAAATATGATGGAATGCCTAATATAAAGGAGGCAGGAAACAGGGACATTACAAAAAGGGTTTTGAGTCCATGGGAGAGGAGGAGAAGGGGAAAGTATGAGAAAAAGCCTCCGAGAAACTTGACTTAATAACTTTAGGTGTAAGTTGTGTGAAATAATTACTTTGGCAGATTTTCAAGGTTATGTTACATTATCCTACTGGCAATAAAGATCATTTTAGAATTCCAGGTGATATGTTCCCTGCATGCCAGCCTTATAGACCTTAACAATATGGGTAGTCAGTCCTCATTTAGCAACTACAAATGGGACTCACAACTTGGTCATTAACTGAAGCAACTGCTGAGAGAAACCACAACTATGCTTAGGATCTTGCTTCAACTTACCTTTGCCTTACAGATCACCAAATGTTGTAAATGCAAGTATTGGTCACAAATTTCCTTTGTCATCACCATTAAAACTTGAAAACCATATGAGGCAATCTGTAAATGAGGATTATCTATCCTTACATGCAGGACCACCCACTCCAAGTAGAAGTGATCTTTCATTTTCATGGTTCCTCATTATGGTTTCCCATTTTTTTGTATACAAATTGAATGAAACTAATATTAAATGAATGAATATCAGTTTCTATTTTAAAGATGTGGGAAAAAAACACAACTCAGACAAAGTTTCAGATATCCATTTGAAAAAAGGAATACAGATACTAAGTTCCAATTTAAAACTTCAGTGAAGTCATTTCCTTGCCAATAGTTATCTAAATCAAATAGAAATAGTCAAAGTACTCATATATGTTAGAGGACTACTCACTCTATATGTTTATACCTGAATTTTTCCCTTGTGGATTACAACTCATGCTTCCCCTCAAAAGCAAATCCTATTAAAAACTATATAGCATTACTATGAACGTGTCAAATGATTATCTGTAACATTTCCACAAAATAAAAATGTATTGGCTGAAAGGGTGACTCAAATCAGGACATGCTTTATTAGTCAGGTATAAAGCTATTACGATTTTCACACCCTATTTATATATTATTTATAGAGTAAATAACTAAAGAGTTATCCTTTCCTTTGAGCAGTCATGACTCTTCACTGAGAGCTTCTTATAAACAAGATTTACCAGTTTTAATTTTTTAAAATCAGCTTACAGAATGTCTAATCCTTATGGCACTTTGTGGATAAAGCTGTCTTATGTACTCTTCTCTTTCTTGAAGCCCACATATCATCAACAAAATCACCGGGAAGTAGAGCCCCGGAAACCAACCTGATAACAGGAATCCCTAAGAACTAATTTATTGACAACCTATCTTTCTTCTGGGAACACAAATGATCCAAGTGGGCTCTCCATTCAATCTAACCCCACAACCTTAAGCTGGCTGGATTCATGTTTGTAGCAATTATGAAAAGCCATCCATCCTTTGGGTGCTCTCCAGCGACCAATTTGTGAGGCCACTGAAAACTGGAGTCACTATTAGAGAGGGCAATTTTGGTATATTTCTATGATTCCAGCTCTGAGGCCTTCACTTGCGCTTCCTGATTACTATGATTTATTTGAGGTTTATATGTTATAGCAGGAGCATGAATCAGGTACAGGAAGACCAGATGATGAATGGATGGAAATATTTATGACTGTCTCTTCTTCTGAAGCATCAGATAATTTAAAGAGCTGGGCAGATTTCTGCCTTTCTACTTCATAATCTTATTTGAAAAGAAGGCACAGTAGTAACATATCCATATAATTACTCAAATGAATGGATCTCTAATTATATGACGATAGTCAGACTGCACATGAGAAATGGGTGTTGGACAAAAATGATGATGGATGAACAGCATATATGCAAGCCTTTCTCACCTTGTCCCTGTCATGAAGGGATACCTTTGCATTTAGAAACAAATATCTGAAGGTTTATAATATTGTAGCAGACATCTGAGCTCATAGATCTGGAAAGCTGATAGGTTAGAACAGGGGTCTTCAATCTTGGCCCTTTTATGACTTGTGGACTTCAACTCCCAGAATTCCTCAGCCAGCATGCCTGCTGGCTGAGGATCATTGAGTACAATGATCTCAAAGAAAACCCAATGCTCCAAACACACCACAAGATGGTGCTGATCTGCTCTGTAACATCAGGAAATAGTTTCCCATTAATATTATTGATTACAGGAAGATCTTACAGAGCAGGGGGTATCAAACTGGTGGCCCGCGGGCTGATGCATCACGCGCAGGCCATGCCCACCCCGGCTCCGCAAAAGCAAAAAAGTCACAATACGCTACGTGACGTGATCGAGTTTGACACCCATGCTACAGAGAAAAACATAGCTTCTGGAACCCAGTCTGAAATACCAATAAAAATAGTTTCCTGCCTGCAGAGAGAAATAAGGAAAATTTGATTTAGCATCACATACATATCCCAACTAAGCACAATATTCTTTGTTAGCTAGTTTACTTATTTCTATTCAAATAGAAGACTTCTTGAAGCAAATTGAACTATCCTCTGCTTCAAAGTTTTTGGATTTCTCCAGGTTCTCAAGGGGTTCCAAGCTTTCTTCAGAAGTTGTTGGGGAAATGGAAGCCAACTCCCACGTGGCCCCTGCTTCCTCATCTAGCCTCTTTTCCAGGTTTTTCAGAGTTCTGCTCTTGGTCTTTCAATTAGCAGGGTTTTTATATCTCTGGCAGAGGGATGGGCATCTTTGTGTACATGCTGAGAATATCTCCCCTCATAAGAAATGTACTGGGGATGCCTCCTCTACAGTCTGCTTGATGGGCTGCCAATTGGTAAGGAACTCCATTCACAGCAGATATGTTTGGCTCAGTGCTTCCAGTATAACTTGTGGATAGGGATTTATCAAGATTCTTGATTTTGGGGAAGTTTGTAAACGTTACGAGTGAAAATGCTTACAAAACTGCTGTAAAGTTCTGCACTCAGTGCACAGACCTACCGAGGGTCCCTGTTTTTTTTATACTTTGCAAGCTCAGGTTGAATATCCATTGTTGAATTCTCCAGGATAAGAATGTTTTTAAAAAGACTGTTTCAATTAAATAGCAATGACCAGCTAATTAATTTTAATGTGTAAAACAGATTTGAGCACAAATTTCAAAACATATTTGGATGCTTTGTAGGTAAAGCAAATCTACTCTGAATTAGGGGTAAACTATACTACAAAACTCTAAAATGCACACTCATTGCACATGCACACATACAGAACATACATGGACACGTCGTATGAACTCTGACACATGGGAAAACCTACCAGCTGGTGCTGTTCCTGTCTTTGGTGCCGGAAGTAAACTCCTGCGGGCAACTGGTGCGCTATTTGAAGCCTGCAGTGAAGTTCTACTGGCCCCCTTAAGTGCTTCTTTAGACGGTTCAGCTGCCTTGAGAATGATTTGCTCTTCATTTCCAAGGCTGGAGCCTGCAGGAAACCAAAAGCATCCCAATTAGAACTGCATTAAAAATAGATGTGTGCCTTGTGCAGTGAATTGATAACATTATTAATGTCATAGACAAATCAAAAAGTCTTCTGTTATTTTAAAGTGATGCACATCCTATGCATACGCGATGAGAGGATTGACTCAATTGGGCTCTGTAAAATTTAAATTTTGTTTAAAAAGGTATCATTTTAAAAGGAAAAATGCTGCTTGCATAAAAGGAAGCAAATATGAACAGGCGGCAACTTCAAGTCAGCCTTTCCTAAATCTGTTCCTCCTCTATCAGCGTTTCATCGTCACACAGCATTGCAAGGAAAGAATGAAAACTCAGAACATCCAGATCAGAGTAAATTGGGAAATCCATTTCCCCAAGGGGTGTTTTTTTGCCGGAGACCCGAACACCAGCAAAAAAAAAAACATTGCAAATTGTGGTTCCAGGATACTGCAAAATGCCATAAAAGTGAATTGGTTGCCAAGTGCCCCAGAGGGAGTCATGTGACTGTGAGTGTGTGTGCAGTTATCCTAACTCTGAAGCCATGTGACTGTGAGTGTGTGTGCAGTTATCCTAACTCTGAAGCAGGCTGCAGTTGCCAACACAGTGCTAGGCTGTATTAACAGAGGGATAGAATGAAGATCACGTGAAGTGTTAATACCACTTTACAATGCCTTGGTATGGCCACACTTGGAACAGTGCATCCAGTTTTGGTCACCACTATGTAAAAAAGATTTGAGACTCTAGAAAGAGTGCAGAGAAGAGCAACAAAGATGATTGGGGACTGGAGGCTAAAACATGTTCCAATATCTCAGGGATTGCCACAAAGAAGAGGAGTCAAGCTATTCTCGAAATCACCTGAAGGCAGGACAAGAAGCAATGGATGAAAACTAATCAAGGAGAGAAGCAACCTAGAACTAAGGAGAAACTTCCTGACAGTTAGAACAATTAATCAGTGGAACAACCTGCCTCCAGAAGTTGTGAATGCTCCAACACTGGAGGTTTTTAAGAAGAGATTGGACAACAATTTGTCTGAAATGGTATAGGGTTTCCTGCCAGAGCAGGGAGTTGGACTAGAAGACCTCCAAGGCCTCTTCCAACTCTGTTATTCTGTTATTAGCTCTGGGGGGAGGGTCCATTGTAACTTTAAATGATTGTTAAAATGACCAGTCATGAGTTGAGGATTACCTGTAATGTAATAATAAAAATAAAGAAGAAAAGATGGCACAAACCGGACAACAGTCAAACCAAACCTACATTACCCTGAAAGGGACTTCAATCAAAGAGGGAAGGTGACAACTCAGTGCTCTCCAAAGGTTTGGACTAGTCCTCCTATGATCGATGGTCATGCTGCCTGGGAGCATGGGAACTGCAGTAGGGAGGGTACAAAATTGCTTGCCTGTATATTTCACAAAATCTACAGCTTCCTTTAAAAAAGAAAACATGTGAATCCTAATTGAAAATAGAGTGTCTAAAATCTATGTACATTGACCTTTACCAATAACATTAAAAATTGAAAACAAAAGGAACCCAACTATGTTTAAAGGGGAAGCAAAATCACAAGCTAATGAGTAGTCAGGAACAGGAGTAAATCTTCTTAATGTTTAACAATGATATTTTATTGCAGGATGATAATCATGCACCATGAATTAACAGGCAATAATTAAACCTGGCCCACTCAAGTTACAATTGAGATTTTATAACCGTCTTGTTATTTACCTACCTCCACTTAGATTTAAACAGCACAACAGTAATTTATCCCAGGAAACTGGGTATTTCTCTTTCTGTCTCTCTGTATTTTGCAGCTTAGGCCTCAAACAGACAGGTTCTGTGGTATTTTAGGGCTCCAAATAGGTTTCTTGGAACAAATTAGACACAGTTCCCTGACAGCTCTTCAAATAATTTGGCCCCAGGTTTCTTATGTAGTCCTAGATCAGGGGTAGGCAACCTTGGCTCTTTTATGACTCGTGGACTTCAACTCCCAGAATTCCTGAGCCAGCTGGGCTGGCTCAGGAATTCTGGGAGTTGAAGTCCACAAGTCATAAAAGAGCCAAGGTTGCCTACCCCTGTCCTAGATAATAGTAGGGGATTTAATTGACTGTGCATGAATATAACAGTATTGGCTTCTGAAGGATTAAAAAAAAAAACTTGAATCCAGGCTATGGATTATCTTCACAAGGCCAAACTGTCCTGGGGGTCAGATGAGCAACTTACATCTATACCTCAATTTCTACAACCAAAATGTTTCCATGGTTAGTTTTGGTGATGATTTTTGCCACCCATCTAAACATTACATCACTTGAGGTTCCTCAGTGAGGCATTGACAGCCATCACTGAAAATTTGGTTGGTTGCTTTCCATCTGTGATTGACAGTTAGGACTCCCCAGAGCAGATGACAAATTAAAGGCTTTTCTCTGAGGGCCTTCAAAGCGATAGCCCATACCCCTCACTAATGCCTTTCTTGCTGCAGTGAAACCAATAGTGTGCCTCTCTGAAGTGGATAGCAGCCACAATGTGTGCCTAGATCCAAGTATTGTGTATGAAATAAAGGGGGACACCACCAGTGATGGATATTGCTCTTGGGTAATTGTGCAGGAAGACCTTATTTACAATGGTTCTCTCTCTGAAGACTTTTGAGATTGTGGTTTTGATAGATGGTACTCCTTGTATAAAGGCAAGAGAGAAAAACAACGGGCAGAAAACAGTGAGAAAAATGAGACAAAGAAGATAGAGTTTTGTCCTTCTTCCAACTGAGAGACAACACTCAGCAATGTCTGTCTCTACATGACAATTTCTGTATGTCATCACTAAGATGTCAGCCTATCATTTTAGATACCCACTTAAACTATTTTAAGGCAAAGGTCCCCAACCTTGGTCACTTTATGACTTGTGGACTTCAACTCCCAGAGGAATTCTGGGAGTTGGAGTCCACAAGTCATAAAGTGGCCAAGGTTGGAGACCCCTGTTCTAAGATATTGTTTGAACATTAAGTTTGTTTGGACAGGTGTTTGTTTGTTTTTTGCTTGTTTTTCTCTGTCCAATATTTTTAAATATTCAGTTACAGTAGAAGTTGCCTTTAAGAATAAAATGTTTTGTGATTATTTGCCAAGTGGAATGTGTCAGATATTTTTACCGAAATCTCCTACTCTTGACTCCCATTCTCTTAGTGTAAATTTATTATACAGAGAACATTTCAATTTACAAATCTGGCTTCCTTCCAAATCAGAAGTCATTCTGTTTGAAGTATGGGGTGTCAGGGGAAGTTACGTCATCTCCTCTGAGTTTTCTGACAAGACTTTTTAGTTACTTAAAAGAAGAGAATCTTTTCAAACTATTTCATACAAATTAAAAAAAATAGGAACCTTTGATAAACAACACAAGTTTGAGTAATTAATATTTATTGTGAAAAGAAAAAGAAGGCTCGCTGAAATATGACCTACATATTTACCAAGAAAGAATATATTAGAAAATGCCCATTTAACGTAACCTGATGAGACTATTAATATATGCACTTCAGGTCTTTTTATATATCAAAAACAAAGTGAGACCAAATGTTCTCTGGGAAAAACAAATCAAAGAATTTAAAAATATTTTATTCTTTAATTTAAGAAGACAATATTGAACTGTTGAGGGAAATGTTGAATTGAATACAGTAAAGGATTGCAATGATGCTTGTAAGAAGTAAAGGAAAGAAGGAGATTATAAAGGGAAAAAAACCTTGGGATGCTGAACCTAGTTCTAAAGTAGAAAAGTAGAAATAGATTCAGTGTATACTATAGCAAATTATTTTGCCTCATGTCAGGCTACAGTACTGGCTGATACTGTTTATTCTGCCCAATAGGAATTTCCTAATCCTTCGGGCACAGAATATTCAAAATTTGTGCTATATGATTTTTTTTAGAGCATATTCAGTGGCTAAACCTGGAGCCCTTCCTTACAAAGCATGAGTACTACCACTGAGCAAGTCTGGCTCTGGCTGAGACAGCTTTTTATCTTTTCCAGAATAATTAATAATTTATATTGACTCCAATCCTAGAGATTTCATTTATTTAGATATTTTCCCTATGGGCCCTGAGCAAGACAACATACTGTTAAATAAAAAAAGAGTGCTTTCAGTGATCATTGAGCAGAGAAAACAAATCCTTTTATCTTAAAAGAAACTGCACATGTGGCTCAACTTGCAAGACACATGTGTGGTAGCTGTGTCATTGTGGCATCAATTTGCTTGAAGAGGCAACAAATAGATGCAAGACAAGGGACTGTCCAAGCTTAGAAAGACAAACCCAGCTTTTCCCCAACTTAAACAACATCCAGATGTGCAGATTTCAATTCCACCCATATGGAGGGTAGCCAGGTGATAAAATCTGTTCTAAGCTTGCCTGCTGACATCAGATTCAGTGGCGGAGGCTGTTTTCAAGTCAATCCCAGCCACCAGTTTTCTGTATCTGTGACAGGGGATCCACTTTGTCCCTTGTAACATCTGAACCTTACTGATCAGACCATTAGGCTTTTTGGTTCAGCACTCAAAGTCATTCAATGGCCAGAATATTCAGGATGCTTAGACATCAGTAGCCCTCTGATGACTGACATCATCAGTCAGATGGTGGTGGTGGTGATGATGATGATAATGATGACGATGAACTGACATCAGCTCAATCAGGGAACACCATTTCTGTTCCAGAACTGAACTTCTTCCAAGTAACAAGAATTAAAAAATACATACAGCCAGCAAACAGTGAGTTGGATATTGGTGAGATGTTCCAATAATACAGAATAAACTTACAACAATTTGACCCAATCAATGAATACTAAAGGAGAATATATTGGATACAAAATAATCTTTTTTCCCCTGGGGAAGAATTTTAATGAACACCCCTTAACCCAAATTTTCTGTTTACCCCTTTCAAAGTTTTAACATATCACATATGCTAAATAGATGCAACGGATTTAAGAGCAGTCTCCCCAAATGCAGATACCCAGAGTTGCATATAA